CTGTCAGGCAGCCAAATTCTGTGTTTTGCAAATCTATTTATACCATTTCTCTGATTGAGGTTTCTGTCTTCTCCCCTTCCGTCACAATTTTTTATAGTCAATTCCTTTCCTAGCCGCTGCCACTTCTTGTATTTAGAAATACTCCATAGGGGATCAGTTAATGGGTGTTTTAACTCATTTTGTGAAAAAATACATGCATCTTCTGTTTTCGTTGCATGGTGTCTTTTAGTGTCAAAAGTTAAAAGGGGAGGTTGCGGCTAGTGCAGCATGGAATCCAAGCTGCTCCTCTTCTTGCTTCTAACCGCTATTGTTGGGGGGGGACCGGACAAGCCTCTTGCGCCTGGTCTCCCTCCAGGAGATCAGATGGAGTCCAACATAATTGACGAAGATGGGAAGGGGTCTCCAAAAAAGCAAGAAAGGTTGGGGAGATTCGGCAGCGTCCGAAAATCACCCGCGGCACTGCACCATTTTCCCAGAAGCCCTTCTGCCAATTTTCACTCCCCATTCATCTAAATCGAATCCAGCATTCCTTATGGTATGTTCTGCATATTGACTGAAGAGAAAAGGAGATAAAATACACTGTACTCTGACACCTTTGCCAATTTGGAAACCATTCTGTTTCTCCATCTTCTATTCTAACAGTGATCTCTTGTCCAGAGTACAGGTTGCACATCAAAGGAAACAGATGATGTGGCACGCCGATTTCTTTAAAAACCAGCCATAGCTTTTCATGATCCACACAGTCCACAGATTTGCTGTAATCTATGGAACACAAGCTGATTTTCTTCTGAAAATTATCTCGTATGGTACAATAACAGACCTAAATTTGCAATATGATCTCATGTACCTTGTCCTCTTCTGAATCCAGCTTCAACATCTGGCATTTCTTATTCCAAACGTGGAAACGGTTTTTGTTGTAAGATTTTGAGCATCACTTTACTTCCATGAAAAATTAATGCGAAGGTCCAGTAGTCGCTGCAGCCTTTGATTTCTCCTTTTGTTCGAATTAGAATGCAAAGTGAGTGTTTTCAGTCTGTGGGCCATCGTTTTGCTTTCCATCTTTGTTAGCATATTCTTCTTAAGATTTTGAGGGAGTCCTTTTCTGTGACTTGGAATATTTCTATTGATAATCCCATCTACTCCTGGTGATTTGTTTCTCCCAATTGCTCTCAATGCAGCTTTCCCTCCCCTTTCTAAAACCATTGATGGTTCTTCAGGAGATTCTTCTGGAAAGGAATCTGTCGTCCTTTCATTTCCTTTGTATAATTCCTCAGTGTATTGTTCCTATCTTTTCTTGGATATTTCTACCTCTAGATATTTTGCTAAATATTTCCATTCTTACCTGGCTGTTGTTTTAGATGTGGGGACGACCCGTGAAGATAGAAGCAAAGATCTCTGAGGAAGAAGGTGCTCCGTCAGAGGAAAGTCAGAGGGTGCAGGCCCAGGAGGATGCCCTGTCAAGTGGTAAGGGTGCCTCCTGCCCAGATGGGATTGGGGCACCTAGTCAAGTTGTTGGGCAGAAGGTTCAGGACAGGAGAAAAGGGAAATGCTTTTCAAGACTATATAGGATGGTGTTCTGTGACACAGAGTGCCATAGGATGTCATTATGGCCACTCCACTTTAAGGTGGAGTAGATAGAAGCATGGAGGGCAATTCCATTCTTAATTATATTAATTAAAATGTGCATCTCTCATCTTCCTTCCATTAGAGGGTCTCAAGGTGGCTCTAAAAAGGAAAGAAAGAGAAATCTGGGTGCAGCTATTGGCCATGATGAATAAATGAAACGTCCATATCCTGAGGCTCGCCCAGTCACCTCGGATCTCAGAAGCTCAGCGGGGTCAGCCCTATTTGGTTCTCACACGGGAGACCACCAAAGAAGTCCAGGGGTTGCTGTGCAGAGGCAGGCAGTGGCAGACCACCTCTGAAGGTCTCTTGCCTTAAACAACTTGTGGCTTCACCAAATGTCAGCTGTGATTTCACAACACTTTACAAACATCGCCCCCCCCCCACGTTCTGGGTCAGCAGACCTCTGAAACCGCATTGCTAGGGGCAATAGTCTGGGTTCTGTGCCCCTGCTTTAAGGCTTTCCTGGGGCATCTGGCAGGCCACAGTGAGAGGGAGGATACTGGACTAGGGATGCCAGGCCATGGGCTGGCACCCCCATGAGGTTTGAGGATGGCGCATGGGGTGGGCGTGATGTCATGTCGATATCTCAACTGGCCTAATGTCTGGATCTGAAGTCAGCATCCTGGAAACCCATTCGTTGTACACTAAAGTTTCCAGAGCCTTGGCTGATGCACTAAAATCACGTCAGGGTTGGGGGGGAGGGAGTATGTGATGCCAACATGTCATGCAACATGATTTACGGTCCCCTCTTCTTTTCCTGCCAGCCCAGACTCCAGGATGGGTGGGAGGGTGCAGCAGGTGAACATAAGAACATCACAGAAGCCAATGTTGGATCAGGCCAATGGCCCATCCAGTCCAACACTCTGTCACACTGTGGAAAACGGGGTGCCTGGGTTTTTGGATGCTGCAACCTTTGGAGCTTCAGGGTTCACAGGGCACCTTTCAAGCCTCACAGAAATGTTGGCAGCATACCTAAAACTACGAGGCTCATGGGTACCTGATGTTTCTCTTCCACCTCTTTGACACCTCATTTTTCTTGAGTGTAAAGAAGAAAAGGTTTCACAATCGTGGGAACAAGGATGCGTGAAGCAGAATTCAAGGAATCAAACACCATAGGAACTTGAGGTTAACATTCATCCTTCCTATTCAGTCTCCCTTGCAGGCAGTGAAGAGATGTTGTCAAGTTGTTGTCTTTTCAAAGGAGTGGATACGGCTGCTCCACCTCTGGTCCAGGTAGGGGGGGGGAGATTGGGAGACAGTCCGATACCCCTCCTTTTGTCATGAGGCTTTTGGTCCCACTGAGGGAGGAGAGACAAGCTCTGAACGCCAGTCACTTTATGCATGCCAAACTCTAAATCTTGCACCCACCATCAGGAGTGTCGTCTTTGCCTGGACTGATCTCTGACGAGGGAATCTGCTGTTTTTTCAGCCTCCCTTTTCCTTTGAGGAGGTGGCCGTGTATTTCACCGAGGCCGAGTGGGCCTTGCTGGCTCCGGGCCAAAGAGCTCTCTACAG